GTGCTCTACAAACTACAAAATACAAGGACACAGTGATCTACAAACTACAAAATACAAGGATACACAGTGCTCTACAAACCACAAAATACAAATATACACAGTGCTCTACAAACTACAAAAAACAAGGTTACACAGCCCTGTACAGACTACAAAATACAAGGTTACACAGTGCTCTACAAACTACAAAATACAAATATACACAGTGCTCTACAAACTACAAAATACAAGGTAACACAGTGCTCTACACTCTACAAAATACAAGGATACACAGCTCTGTACAGACTACAAAATACAAGGTTACACAGCCCTGTACAGACTACAAAATACAAGGTTACACATTGCTCTACAAACTACAAAAAACAATGTCACACAGCTCTGTACAGACTGCAAAATACAAGGATACACAGCTCTGTACAGACTACACAATACAAGGTTACGAAGCCCTGTACACACTACAAAATACAAGGATACACAGCTCTGTACAGACTACAAAATACAAGGTTACACAGCCCTGTACAAACTACAAAATACAAGGTTACACGTGCTCTACAATCTACAAAATACAAGGATACACAGTGCTCTACAATCTACAAAATACAAGGATACACAATTTTGTACAGATTACAAAATACAAGGGTACACTGTGCTCTACAGTCTACAAAATACAAGGATACACGTGCTCTACAAATCTACAAAATACAAAGATACACAATTTTGTATAGACTACAAAATACAAGGGTACACAGTGCTCTACAATCTACAACATACAAAAAGGATACACGTGCTCTACAATCTACAAAATACAAGGATACACAATTTTGTATAGACTACACAATACAAGGGTACACAGTGCTCTACAATCTACAAAATACAAGGATACACGTGCTCTACAATCTACAAAATACAAGGATACACAATTTTGTATAGACTAGAAAATACAAGGGTACACAGTGCTCTACAATCTACAAAATACAAAAAGGATACACGTGCTCTACAATCTACAAAATACAAGGATACACAATTTTGTATAGACTAGAAAATACAAGGGTACACAGTGCTCTACAATCTACAAAATACAAAAAGGATACACGTGCTCTACAATCTACAAAATACAAGGATACACAATTTTGTATAGACTACAAACTACAAGGGTACGCAGTGCTCTACAATCTTCACAATACAAGGATACACAACTTGGTACAGACTACAAAATACAAGGGTACACTGTGCTCTACAATCTACAAAATACAAGGATACACGTGCTCTACAATCTACAAAATACAAGGATACACGTGCTCTACAATCTACAAAATACAAGGATACACTTGCTCTACAATCTACAAAATACAAGGATACACAATTTTGTACAGACTACAAAATACAAGGGTCCACAGTGCTCTACAATCTACAAAATACAAGGATACACAATTTTGTACAGATTACAAAATGCAAGGGTCCACAGTGCTCTACAATCTACAAAATACAAGGATACACGTGCTCTACAATCTACAAAATACAAGGATACACAATTTTGTATAGACTACAAAATACAAGGGTACACAGTGCTGTACTTTACGTTAGAAAATGTAGCTTGACTTTGTAGTGGCGGTGGTTGTATTGCTGTTGGATGGTGTCCGTTGTTATGGCGGTGGTTGTATTGCTGTTGGATGGTGTCCGTTGTTGTGGTGGTGATTGTATTGCTGTTGGATGGTGTCCGTTGTTACTGCGGTGGTTGTATTGCTGTTGGATGGTGCCCGTTGTCGTGGTGGTGGTTGTATTGTTGTTGGATGGAGTCCGTTGTTATGGTGGTTGTATTGCTGTTGGATTGTGTCCGTTGTTGTGGCGGTGGTTGTATTGCTGTTGGGTGGTGACTGTTGTTGTGACGGTGGTTGTATTGCTGTTGGATTGTGTCCGTTGTTGTGGCGGTGGTTGTATTGCTGTTGGGTGGTGACTGTTGTTGTGGCGGTGGTTGTATTGCTGTTGGATGGTGACCGTTGTTATGACGGTGATTGTATTGCTGTTGGATGGTGTCCGTTGTTATGGTGGTGGTTGTATTGCTGTTGGATGGTGTCCGTTGTTATGGCGGTGGTTGTATTGCTCTGGGTGGTGTCCGTTTTTGTGGCGCGTTGGTTGTATTGCTGTTGTATGGTGTCCGTTGTTATGGCGGTGGCACTGTGGCAACAAGGGCTGTAGTGATATAAATGTTAGTCTCCGCCAGACAATCCAGTGTTTGTCAATATTAACATTGATCTACGCAATTTGAACACGCTGAAAATATTGATTTCCATATATTTCAAACATGTTTTGATTGTCAGTACTACAAACTTGTTAAAATGCGCGGAAAGTATAACTAGTGGACTGAATAAATAGGAATTTATCTTCAAATCTTGACAATTTCAATCATTGCTGTAATGTGTGGTTTCCATTCCCTATTAATGTGAGTGAGTGAGTGAGTGAGTGAGCTGGGTTAGACGCCGTGTTGACCTGTGCCCTACTCACAGACGCGTCTGCTTCAGCTGAGGAGAGAAGCCCGAAGTTATGTTGGTGTCAAAACTCTAGAACAGGAGTATGGTGGGAGGCCAAAGATCATAATTGGGGTGAATGTGGGATTAGAACCACGACCATAGGATCAGTGCACATCTAAGGGAGACAACTCTACACAGGGATTGGGTCACATCGAAGGGAGATACCTCTACACAGACTGAGGCACATCTAAGGGAGACAACTCTACACCGTCACGGGGACTAAAAAAGCGAGTTCAGTATTCTGTTTATTACTGTCCAACATAAATTGATAGCAACTGCCTACAGTGTGATGACTCTCAGCTTTCCGTGAGTCAAACAAGAGGCTTTAGCATTGCGACATTATTACTGTAAACCATTATGACGTCATACCTCTAGCGGTATTACTCTAGTGTAATGTTGTCGTAAAAATATACACTGCAGTATTTTACACGGGCGAGTAATAAGAATGTTTACCACACATTCTACGTCATGGTGAATATTGCTAAATATCAGTGAGAAATTGTATATGATCCATTGGTGAAATAAACTCATAACCGTGACAACGCATGAAGCAGGTCAAGTGTATTACAGGGAGTTACCATGCACCTGTAAAGCTGAACGATCGAGCATTAATGTAAAACGTGTGTAAAATAGCTAAATATTCGCACGTATGTAAAACAACGCTTCAGCTGATGAAAACGTTTCATGAACTGAAATGAAACTAAACGTAAAGATGCCGGCACCAGCGTGACTGGACCATTGATGCCGTTAGTAAAGTGACTGGACCATTGATGCCGTCAGTAAAGTGACTGGGCCATTGATGCCGGCAGTAAAGTGACTGGACCATTGATGCCGGCAGTAAAGTGACTGGACCAATTGATGCCGTCGGTAAAGTGTCAGGACAATGATGCCGGCACCAAAGTGACTGGAACATTGATGCCGTCAGTAAAGTGACTGGACCATTGATGCCGGCACTAAAGCGACTGGAACATTGATGCTGGCAGTAAAGTGACAGGACCATTGACGCCGGCAGAAAAGTGACTGGACCATTGATGCCGTCATTATAGTGACTGGACCATTGATGCTGTCAGTAAAGTGACTGGACCATTGATGCCGGCAGTAAAGTGACTAGACCATTGATGACGTCAGTAAAGTGACAGGACCATTGATGCCGGCAGGTAAGTGACAGGACCACTGATGCCGGCAGTAAAGTGACAGGACCATTGATGCCGTCAGTAAAGTTACAGGACCATTGATGCCGTCAGTAAAGTGACAGGACCATTGATGCTGTCAGTAAAAGGAAAGGACTATTGATGTTGGCAGTAAAGTGACAGGACCATTGATGCCGTCAGTAAAGTGATATCAATGTAACGGTACGATTGTAAATTGGGGAAAAGAAATAACCGCTTAAAGAGTAGAAAAAACGGCAACAATTCATATCCATATTCAAAATCCATTCCTGATCGTGTGTTGGACAGAACGACTCGGTCGCTCTAGGCTTGCAAACAAGCAACCCTTGACTCGGACGCTCTTTAGTCTTGTATTCAAGCAGCCCTTGACTCGGACGCTCTTTAGTCTTGTATACAGGCAGCCCTTGACCCGGACGCTCTTTAGTCTTGTATACAAGCAACCCTTGACTCGGACGCTCTTTAGTCTTGTATTCAAGCAGCCCTTGACTCGGACGCTCTTTAGTCTTGTATACAGGCAACCCTTGACTCGGACGCTCTTTAGTCTTGTATACAAGCAGCCCTTGACTCGGACGCTCTTTAGTCTTGTATACAAGCAGCCCGTGACTCGGACGCTCTTTAGTCTTGTATACAAGCAACCCTTGACTCGGTCGCTCTAGGCTTGCAAACAAACATCCCTTGACTCGGACGCTCTTTAGTCTTGTATACAAGCAACCCTTGACTCGGACGCTCTTTAGTCTTGTATACAAGCAACCCTTGACTCGGACGCTCTTTAGTCTTGTATACAAGCAACCCTTGACTCGGTCGCTCTAGGCTTGCAAACAAACATCCCTTGACTCGGACGCTCTTTAGTCTTGTATACAAGCAACCCTTGACTCGGACGCTCTTTAGTCGTGTATACAAGCATCCCATGACTCGGACGCTCTTTAGTCTTGTATACAAGCAACCCTTAACTCGGACGCTCTTTAGTCTTGTATATAAGCAGCCCTTGACTCGGAGGCTCTTTAGTCTTGTATGCAAGCAACCTTTGACTCGGACGCTCTTCAGTCTTGGACACAAACAACCCTTGACTCGGACGCTCTTTAGTCTTGTATACAAGCAGCCCTTGACTCGGACGCTCTTTAGTCTTGTATACAAGCAACCCTTGAGTCGGACGCTCTTTAGTCTTGTATACAAGCAACCCTTGACTCGCACGCTCTTTAGTCTTGTATACGAGCAGCCCTTGCAGAGAAACCCTCTCTTCCGCGAAAGTCAAAATTCCCCGAGTAAGGGAGCAGGTGTCTGTAACAGCCCGCCCCTCCACGCCCACTGTTCCTCCTCTGGGCAGGCGCAGGCTCCACACGACATACCGTATCCCTGCTACAAATAGAACCTCTTCTGTGTAACTGCAATTGTAAGGAATAGTGCTTCCGGCTGTCGTTAACAAACATCACAACGACACTTTCAGCAGATAGATGGTCTTATATTTTGGGTCGATTGTGGAAATAATCAAAATCGGAAAATTCGTGGTTAAACCCTTTGATTGCTTCATCGAAGGACGGGGTTCGGTTCCCCTCGCAGTTGCAATGTTAAAAGCCCAGAGCTCCCAGCCGTGATATATCTGACGTAGTGTTAAAACAAGCGTAATACCTGCTGCGGACTGCAGAGAGTGGGTGGGTTGATATCTGACCAGGATTGTCGGAGGTTGATGGGTTGATATCTGACAGGGATTGTAGGTGGTGCATGGTGTGATATCTGACAAGGATTGTAGGTGTTGGATGGGGTAATATCTGACAAGGATTGTAGGTAGCGGATGGAGTGATATCAAACAAAGATTGTTTGTAGCGGATGGGGTGATATCTAACAGGGATTGTTGGTAGCGGATTGGGTGATATCTAAAAAGGATTGTTGGTAGCGGATGGGGTGATATCTGACAAGGATTTAAGGTAGCGGATGGGGTGATACCTGACAAGGATTGTAGGTGGTGTATGGGGTGATATCTGACATGGATTTAAGGTAGCGGATGGGGTGATACCTGACAAGGATTGTAGGTAGCGGATGGAGTGATACCTGACAAGGATTGTAGGTGTTGGATGGGGTGATATCTGACAAGGATTGTAGGTTGCGGATGGGGTGATACCTGACAAGTATTGTAGGTTTTGGATGTGGTGATACCTGACAAGGATTGTAGGTGTTGGATGGGGTGATATCTGACAGGGATTGTAGGTGTTGGATGGGGTGATATCTGACAAGGATTGTAGGTGATGTATGGGGTGATATCTGACAAGGATTGTAGGAGTTGGATTGGGTGATATCTGTCAAGGAGTGCAGGTGTTGGATGGGGTGATGTCTGACAAGGATTGTAGGTGTTGGATGGGGTGATATCTGACAAGGATTGTAGGTAGCGGATGGTTGATATCTGACAAGGATTGTAGGTGTTGTATGGGGCGATACCTGACAAAGATTGAAGGTAGCGGATGGGGTGATACCTAACAAGGATTGTTGGTAGCGAATGGGGTGATATCTGACAAGGATTGTAGGTGGTGTATGGTGTGATATCTGACAATGATTATCGGTGTTGGATGGGGTGATATCTGACAAGGATTGAAGGTGTTGGATGGGGTGATATCTGACTAGGATTGTAGGTGGTGTATGGTGTGATATCTGACTAGGATTGTAGGTGATGGATGGGGCGATACCTGACAAGGATTGTAGGTAGCGGATGGGTTGATACCTGACACGGATTGTTGGTAGCGGATGGGGTGATATCTGACAAGGATTGTAGGTGTTGGATGGGGTGATATCTGACCAGGATTGTAGGTGTTGGATGGGGTGATATCTGCCAAGGATTGTAGGTTGCGGATGGGGTGATATCTGACAAGGATTGTAGGTGGTGTATGGTGTGATATCTGACAAGGATTGTAGGTGATGTATGGGGTGATATCTGACCAGGATTGTAAGAGTTGGATTGGGTGATATCTGTCAAGGATTGTAGGTGTTGGATGGGGTGATGTCTGACAAGGATTGTAGGTGTTGGATGGGGTGATATCTGACAAGGATTGTAGGTAGCGGATGGTTGATATCTGACAAGGATTGTAGGTGTTGTATGGGGCGATACCTGACAAAGATTGAAGGTAGCGGATGGGGTGATACCTGACAAGGATTGTTGGTAGCGAATGGGGTGATATTCGACAAGGATTGTAGGTGGTATATGGTGTGATATCTGACAATGATTATCGGTGTTGGATGGGGTGATATCTGACAAGGATTGAAGGTGTTGGATGGGGTGATATCTGACTAGGATTGTAGGTGGTGTATGGTGTGATATCTGACAAGGATTGTAGGTGATGGATGGGGCGATACCTGATAAGGATTGTAGGTAGCGGATGGGTTGATACCTGACACGGATTGTTGGTAGCGGATGGGGTGATATCTGACAAGGATTGTAGGTGTTGGATGGGGTGATATCTGACCAGGATTGTAGGTGTTGGATGGGGTGATATCTGCCAAGGATTGTAGGTTGCGGATGGGGTGATATCTGACAAGGATTGTAGGTGGTGTATGGTGTGATATCTGACAAGGATTGTAGGTGGTGTATGGGGTGATACCTGATAAGGATTGTAGGTAGTGGATGGGTGATATCTGACAAGGATTGTTGGTAGCGGATGGGGTGATATCTGACAAGATTGTAGGTGTAGGATGGGGCGATATCTGACAAGGATTGTAGGTGGTGTATGGGGTGATATCTGACACGGATTGTTGGTAGCAGATGGGATTAGACCTAACAAGGATTGTAGGTGGTGTATGGGTGATATCTGACAAGAATTGTAGGTAGCGGATGGATGATATCTGACAATTATTGTAGGTAGCGGATGGGGTGATACCTGACAAGGATTGTAGGTAGCGGATGGGGTGATATTTGACAAGGATTGTAGGTAGCGGATGGGGTCATACCTGACAAGGATTGTAGGAAGCGGATGGGCTGATACCTGACAAGGATTGTAGGTAGCGGTTGGGGTGATATCTGACAAGGATTGTAGGTGTTGGGTGGGGTGATATCTGACAAGGATTGTAGGTGTTGGATGGGGTGATACCTGACAAGGATTGTGTATCCGCTACCTACAATCCTTGTATGGTGTGATATCTGACACTGATTGTAGGTGTTGGATGGGGCGATACCTGACAAGGATTGTTGGTAGCGGATGGGGTGATACCTGACAAGGATTGTTGGTAGCGGATGGGGTGATATCTGACAAGGATTTCAGGTTTTTTATAGTGTGATATCTGACAGGGATTGTAGGTGTTGGATGGGGTGATATCTGACAAGGATTGTAGGTGTTGGACGGGGTGATATCTGACAACGATTGTAGGTAGCGGATGGGATGATATCTGACAAGGATTATAGGTGGTGTATGGGGTGATATCTGACGAGCGTTGTAGGTGTTGGATGAAGTGATATCTTACAAGGATTGTAGGTGGTTTATGGTGCGATACCTGACGAGGATTGCAGGTGTTGGATCGTGTTATACCTGACGAGGATTGTAGGTAGCGGATGGGGTGATATCTGACAAGGATTGTAGGTGGTGTATGTGGTGACATCTGACAAGGATTGTAGGTGGTGTATGGGGTGATATCTGACCAGGATTGTAGGTGTTGGATGAGGTGATATCTGACAAGGATTGTAGGTGTTGGATGAGGTGATATCTGACAAGGATTGTAGATAGCGGATAGGTTGATATCTGACAAGGATTGTAGGTGGTGTATTTGGTGATATCCTACGAGGATGTAGGTAGCGGATGGGATGATACCTGACAAGGATTGTAGGTTTTGGATGTGGCGATACCTGACAAGGATTGTAGGTAGCGGATGGGGTGATACCTGACAAGGATTGTTGGTAGCGGATTGGGTGATATCTGACAAGGATTGTAGGTGGTGTATGGTGTGATATCTGACAAGGATTGTAGGTGTTGGAAGGTGTGATATCTGACAAGGATTGTTGGTGTTGGATGGGGTGATATCTGACAATGATTGTAAATAGCGAATGGGGTGATATCTGACAAGGATTGTAGGTAGCGGATAGAGGACATCTGACAAGGATTTTAAGTAGCGGAAGGGTGATATCTGACAAGGATTGTAGGTACCGGAAGGGGTGATATCTGACAAGCGTTGTAGGTGGTGTATGGGGTGATACTTAACAAGGATTGTAGGTCGCGGATGGGGTGATATCTGACAAGGATTGTAGGTGTTGGATGGGGTGATATCTGACAAGGACTGTAGGTAGTGGATGGGTGATATCTGACAAGCGTTGTAGGTGATGTATGGGGTGATACTTGACAAGGATTGTAGGTGTTGGATGGGCTGATACCCGACAAGGATTGTTGGTAGCGGATGGGGTGATATCTGACAAGGATTGTAGGTGTTGGATCGGGTGATATCTGACAAGGATTGTTGGTAGCGGATGGGGTGATATCTGACAAGGATTGTAGGTGTTGGATGTGGTGATACCTGACAAGAATTGTTGGTAGCGTATGGGGTGATATCTGACAATGATTGTAGGTAGCGGATGGGGTGATATCTGACAAGGATTGTTAGTAGCGGATGGGGTGATATCTGACAAGGATTGTAGGTAGCGGATGGGGTGATATCTGACAAGGATTGTAGGTGATGGATGGGGTGATATCTGACAAGGATTGTTGGTAGCGGATGGGGTGATATCTGACAAGGGTTGTAGGTGTTGGATGGGGCGATATCTGACAAGGATTGTAGGTGGTGTATGGGGTGATATCTGACGAGTATTGTAGGGGTTGGATGGGGTGATATCTGACAAGGATTGTAAATAGCGGATGGGGTGTTATCTGACAAGGATTGTAGGTTGCGGATGGGGTGATATCTGACAAAGGATTGTAGGTGGCGGATGGGGTGATATCTGACGAGGATTGTAGGTAACGGATGTGGTGATATCTGTCAAGATTGTAGGTGTTGGATGTGGTGATATCTGACGAGGATTTTAGGTAGCGGATGGGGTGATATCAGACAAGGATTGTAGGTAGCGGATGGGGTGATATCTGACAAGGATTGTAGGTGTTGGATGGGGTGATATCTGACAAGGATTGTTGGTAGCGGATGAGGTGATATCTGACAGCGATTGTAGGTAGCGAATGGGGTGATATCTGACAAGGATTGTATGTAGCGGATGGGGTGATATCTGACAGGGATCGTAGGTGGTGTATGGGGTGATATCTGACAATTGTAGGTAGCGGAATGGGGTGATATCTGACAAGGATTGTATATAGCGGATGGGGTGATATCTGACAGGGATTGTAGGTGGTGTATGGGGTGATATCTAACAGGAGATGTGTCAGTAGCGG